CCTTAGCATTATAATTCAACCATGAATGGACTTAGTAGGCACGGAAACGCGTTTTAAAACTTTCCCTAATAAGGTATACTTTGAATAATTCAAGAAATATCAAAACAATTGAATCAAAACAAAACTGAAAACGAAAACTGCCATAAAAAAATAAATAGCTATAGCTGGTTCAAAATCTCATGAGCCTCAACATCCGCAAAGAGCGGAGCTTATTTCATTCATATTATGCCTTAGCATTATAATTCAACCATGAATGGACTTAGTAGGCACGGAAACGCGTTTTAAAACTTTCCCTAATAAGGTATACTTTGAATAATTCAAGAAATATCAAAACAATTGAATCAAAACAAAACTGAAAACGAAAACTGCCATAAAAAAATAAATAGCTATAGCTGGTTCAAAATCTCATGAGCCTCAACATCCGCAAAGAGCGGAGCTTATTTCATTCATATTATGCCTTAGCATTATAATTCAACCATGAATGGACTTAGTAGGCACGGAAACGCGTTTTAAAACTTTCCCTAATAAGGTATACTTTGAATAATTCAAGAAATATCAAAACAATTGAATCAAAACAAAACTGAAAACGAAAACTGCCATAAAAAAATAAATAGCTATAGCTGGTTCAAAATCTCATGAGCCTCAACATCCGCAAAGAGCGGAGCTTATTTCATTCATATTATGCCTTAGCATTATAATTCAACCATGAATGGACTTAGTAGGCACGGAAACGCGTTTTAAAACTTTCCCTAATAAGGTATACTTTGAATAATTCAAGAAATATCAAAACAATTGAATCAAAACAAAACTGAAAACGAAAACTGCCATAAAAAAATAAATAGCTATAGCTGGTTCNTTTTTGTGCAATTAAAAATGTATTACTTGATAGAAAAAGTTGTAACTTGTTGAAACTGAACCGTAATGAAATAAAGTAAAACATCAAAGTTTCAAGTTTATTGTAGAAACACAGCAGTTATTTCACCGTACAGCGGTGAACAAATCTCCTGTTTCTCCATTATTATTTTCTATCAAAAAAAAAAAGAAATTTAAGAATTTTCATTTTATACCCAGTGATTACTGCAAACTCTTAAGTTATAATGGACATATTGAAACAGCTTGACAATCCCAAATGAGAATAATAACAATTAACCTGAACAGTCGATCAATTGTACACATATTTATCAATTAAAATTGATATAAGTAATAATGAACGATAAATTAAATTATTACTTCCTATACACAAGTATTGTATGTCATTCCAGCGACGTTCGTTGAACCTTGTAAAAAAATAACATGGAAATAATTTTTGCGTGGCACTGTAGTTTAGGGCGACTTACTGGAGTCAGGTTTTGAGTGTAGTGGTGGGGGTAGCTTATCAAGTCCATAATAAGCGCATGTTTCGCTTAATAAAACGAGTGTTAATTGCCTGTTTCTACACGTAGATACACAAACACACACACACCACCACCACCTCCACCACTACCTAGTATGATACTGTATGCGTGTGATTCCTATCGAGCGCCGAAACTTTATTATGTGTATGTACGTGCGCCTGGATTCCAGCAGGACCAAAATAGGATCAGACAATAATAGACAGAGCCGCATACCTATGAACACCACGAGAAACGTTTCGTTATAGGTGACTTCCGCATTTTCTAGGAAAAACAAACATACACTAACATCAATCAAGACTTTCACCGGTTCCGCTATCGAAGAATTCGATTCCATTTCGAAAAATGAAACCTGCTAAAAAATACACATTTTCTTGGTTTTAATTGCGAAATGAGCCCCTGCAGCAATTAAAAGAAACGGACAGGGGTGAATATGAAATACGCACCGAAAGTATTTCATTTACCAGATACCTCCATTGTTAAATATCAAAATTTCGGAATCTTACAATTTCCTTAATCTTTTTCGTATGAGCCAAGGGTAAATTTTAGGATCCATAAAACACACGACGGCTTTTGAACTGAGGTCGCAATGAAAGTCAAAAAGGAATAGACGAGATAGGTGGGTATGACACCTTTAGAGATGTGCAAAATGGTTTTTTTTAAAAGTATTCAAATGTAAAATACAAAATGATTTTCCCTTTGGTGTTTTAAATGCTAAATGCAAAATACGTATTTTCAAAATATTTTTTTCAAATAAATACTTTTTTGTAGTACACCAATTTAATTTTCTACATTTACTTAAGGATGTTTGAGAGGTATGTCAAAATNTAGTTTCATTAGCTTTGAGTTCATCTAATAAGTGAAGTTTTTCTAAGAATTTTGGATTATATGCATTTATTAGCATACCACAATATCTTGCAGTTTTGTCTTACACTGCTGGGGTATATCAATTCGATATTGTTTTGCGGGCTGTTTTGTCGTAATTCATAGAATTTCGTAGTTATTTGCTAAAGGTACGATAAGTGGTGATTTGACAGGTGCTGATATCAATGTGGAACTTCAAAATTCCATGGACCATGACAGTGAACCCGGAAAACAATATATCGATCCAAAATTTTACATTATCTATTTCCAAGGAATTTAGAATCTTTTGGGCTCTCTTCGGTTCAAGAATTAGAAGGCATTCAAGGAATGTCTTTAAGTCTTTGTCCCTCTTTTAAGCTTTTAATGTCTTAAATTTANTAGTTTCATTAGCTTTGAGTTCATCTAATAAGTGAAGTTTTTCTAAGAATTTTGGATTATATGCATTTATTAGCATACCACAATATCTTGCAGTTTTGTCTTACACTGCTGGGGTATATCAATTCGATATTGTTTTGCGGGCTGTTTTGTCGTAATTCGTAGAATTTCGTAGTTCTTTGCTAAAGGTACGATAAGTGGTGATCTGACAGGTGCTGATATCAATGTGGAACTTCAAAATTCGATGGACCATGACAGTGAACCCGGAAAATAATATATCGATCCAAAATTTTACATTATCTATTTCCAAGGAATTTAGAATCTTTTGGGCTCTCTTCAGTTAAAGAATTAGAAGGCATTCATGGAATGTCTCTTTGTTCTCTTTTTAAGCTTTAACCTTCAATAGCCAATGTGAGTAACTTTCATTCATCATTTTATATAATGTTTGATCGCTGATAGTAGCAAAACTTTTTAACGTCAAAAATGTATTTTGCCTATGAAGAAGTTCACCACTCGTACTAGCGAAACGTTAGGAAGCAACTCCAACACACGACGATCTTTAAACCCGAATCAGTCGACATAACTAATTCTGTATAGTTTGCAAGGAAAAATAGGAAAGAGCATTATTATTTATAAGATATAATCATTATAAACCCAGTGATTATTGCTGGAAATTGTCTGTTGTAATCTCAAACGATTTTGTTAAAAAGTTTTACCTGAATATTGATACTTTAGATCAAGTGTAGATCCAAAGTCTCTGTGACCGTTAAGACTTCAAAATTCATGAACTCTTTAAAACCCCAAATCCAAAAACAAAACAAAACACCAAGGGACTCTCTTCAGTCCCTTGAGAAGGTAACCCTGTTACCAAAAAGTACTTTGGATTCTTAGTGTCTTGTTTTGGCGTAGCGATTTAAGCTATTTAGAGTGCTCTACAATACCGCCAAAATTTTCCAGTCTTCTGTATTCAAAATTCCTGTTTTCAAGATATAAGCCTTTGAAGTTGAGCTGTAATTTTTATGTATGTATCGTATATGTCTGTCAGTACCTATGTATAAACATATCGAGAGTCATCATACATATACGTATACATAAATAAAATATACAGCAGACTTACACCATTGCAAAAGCCCATGAAAAGTTCGATTTTTCGGAAACATGATTTTTGCGGACTTAACGGGCATTGAATCTTTCTATCTCCACAACAAGAACTATTTGAGTACAAAGCTTCAAAGACATTGATCGGGGGAGCTATTTTCTATAAAGAATATGCGAGATCCTCTGAATAAAACATAATGGTACCTACATTCAAATAACTATTATTTGAATTTTTTAACACTTGAAATTATAGTTTTTACAGCGTATAGTATCCCGGTTGAAAGACAGAAGACAGAACAAAAAACCTGCCAATGAACCTATGTAAAAGATTTAGAGGCGTTTTTCTCAATGTCCTTGCGGGCACGCATGAAATAATTTTCTAACAAACAATATCAACATTTACTTAATTCTTCGTAAGAATGAAAGGATTTCAAATTACTTTAGTACAGATTTTACATTTATTTATTTATTATTATAAAACGGGGAGATCCTTATACAAATACAGAAATGTTAAAAACAATATACTAAATGATATATAAAGTTGTAATCAATAATATCAATTAAAAATGAAATCACTAGGTTGCATACTTATATGAGTCCAGAGCATATGTATGTATAAGATAACAGAAATTCGNGAAAGGGAGTAGAAATAAATTGACCGTTGCAGAGGTGAATCAAGAGATAAATTGAAAGTGATAGAAGTGAAATAAATAGGACAGTGAATAGTAACAGTACTGTAAATAAATAGAATAATTACCGAAGTAGTAATAATTTAATAGTGTTTTTAAGTTTAATAGTAATTAGTGTAAATAAATAGTTTTTGTCGTTGTGAGTCTTTAAAGTTAATTTGTTAAACCCACGAACATTACAATACGTTTACAAAATTACATCTCACAAACAGTGCATTGAACATGTTATAAATTAATGTGTAATTATTAACCAGATAATAAGCATAATATAACTGGCTGTAAAGCAAGAAATGAGGTTTGCTTTCCTATTATAGAAAACCTTTTTCCACTGTCTTGACGTAAAGCAAAACACGTGTTGTGTTAACAATGACGTCAGAAAGACAAAATAAGAAACCACAAAAAACTTACACAATACAAATGGGTATGCACTTATCCACCCACATGAAATATAAATTATTTTTATTTCATTAATAACAATTTCAGTGAGTATGATGATAACAGTTAAGTTTTTACTATTGAGTGAAGTTTTCTATTACATAGAACTCGACGTAATTCTCGTATTTATTATCGTCTCTTAGACGGCGTAGAAAACAATTCCGAAAATTTGAAAGAATCTTTTTGTTTGAAATAAATTAGACATTTATGATGAAATTAATGTAATCTGGTTTTTAACAGTAACTGAAATACCAGTAACATCGTTCTTAAATTTTCAAAGGGTGACTTCAATTATATACGAGTTCACATTAAAAATTGGGTAGACCATTCGGAAATTGAAGTCACAACTAGATCACTTCAAATTTTGTCCAGTGAATAATCGAATCTTTAAGACAGGTAAATATTTTCCGTATTACGTACGTTAAAAAGTATTTTAGGGCTCAAAGCAAAATTCATCAAATTGAAAAAATAAGAAAGAAATCAAACGAGTATAATTTTAAGAAGTTTAGTGACATTAACTTAATGGTACTCTTTATAACGACAGATGCTAATAAAGTTTCTCTCTAAACAATTATTTTATTAAAAAGTCCTTGGAATGGTTTAATTCGTTAAAATTGAAACATTCCAACTAGCTCAAATTGGAAATAAAATAATTGCAGAACTTAAAACTACTTAGGTACAATTAAACTAAAACGGTTGAAATAAAATTAGCTACAATCCCTTCAAGACAAAAGGTGCATCTGTAGTATGTTTTTTTTACAATGGTTTCGTTCGTAATAGTGATGATTTCATTCACCGTCTGTCCGCGAACTATTTTTAGTTCGTCTCAAATAATTTTTAATTCCCATAAGAAATATGTTCAAATAAATTACTCTAAAAAGACATTTTACTTTCGATTACCTTCATTTCAGGAACTACCGAAACTAAAATTATGGAAACAAGATTTCTAGAACTGAATCAAATCTTTTCACATAAAATTCGCGATCTTGACTTATCAACATCAAACTTTNTGTCCGCGAACTATTTTTAGTTCGTCTCAAATAATTTTTAAATTGGATTACTTATACGTGTACAATACGTTACACATCTACTGGACAAAATTATATAAATATTTGTATTATTACGCTGTTAACATTAAATATATGTAGATGCCAGTAAACTGCAAGGAATCTACTGATTGACTTGCATTTATGGAGTAACTTTGGTCTGGTCAGTGATTTTCCGAAACTACCTATGATGTGTTGATTAGAATTAATAAAATTCGAAAGCGCGATCTAAAAAGTAAAAAAAAAATCTAATTACGCGACATGTTTTCAGCGCTGAATTTGCAAATTCTTGGACAACATGGGAGACAATAACAACATAACGGTGCCAGAAAGAATCGAAATGCCCAAAGCATCAGTAAATATACTAAGACAGACACATCCAGCCGCGGATTTGTCTTTGAATGTAAAACGTGCTGATGAGAACACCGATTTGACCCAAGAGCATTCCTCTGCAACACTGCCAGCATCACCATTACCACATACTGACGAAAAACAATCGCCCGAACTCAAAAGAGACGACGAATCTAAAGTAGAAACATATTTTCAAAAAATAGACCTCGATGCCACTTCTACTTCTGTAACCAACACATTGAGCAGAAAAGCCGACACACCAATGCAAAGTTTCACAAAAACCGAAGCTGCAGAACAAAACCAGCAAATGCTAACGGTTCCGCGTTACAAAAGTGAAATAATAACCAACAAAGATGAATTAAACGGAAAAACTTCTGCTACCGGAAGCCCAAATTTCAACAAAATGAAACATTTATCAAGCAACGTCTTTCCCGTTGGATGTATGGGATGCAAAGAAGATGTACACTCATCTTCCTCGAGGAGATTTCTGAACGCTAACGAAGCCACTATAGACCATGTGGGGCACATGGAAAATACTCCTAGAAAACGCCCGACCAGCAGAACCCGTGACACCATCCGGAACCCAGTGACTGGGGCGGGGGTTGAAAATTATTCCGATAAACAAAAAGTACCATCAGGCAAAAGAAAGGGTAAGTATATTTTTCTCATCTGAGATTGTACGGTACTGACAGATCAGTACTGTATGAAAATAAATAAAACTAAAACTAAAATACTGGTATGCAAGGAAAGAAAAAGTAGGGAAATAGCGAATATAAAGATAGGAGACGAAGAATTAGAAGAAGTGGCTGATTTTAGATACCTAGGAAGTCAGATAAGTCAGGATGGAAGTAGTCGGTATATAAAGCAGAGGATAGCGCAGGGTCGTGTCACCTTTAATAAAAAGAAGTCACTTCTATGCTCGCGAACGGTTTATTTAGAAATTCGAAAAAGGTTGTTAAAGGTGTATGTTTGAAGCACGTCATTGTACGGGTGCGAAACATGGACAGTGGGCGCGGCGGAAAAGAAAAGGTTAGAAGTGTTCGAAATGTGGTGTTATATGCAGATGATGAGGATATCGTGGGTAGAAAAGGTTAGAAGTGAAGAAGTATTAGAAAGAATGGGAGAACAGAGGACTCTATGGAAGTCAATAAAAATAGGCGAGATAGGTTGGTAGGACACCTTCTTAGGCATGAAGATCTAGTCAGAGACATATTAGAGGCAGAAACAGGAGTTAGGAGGGGTAGAGGTAGACCTAGATTAGATTACTGTTCCCAAACAGTTAAGGATGTGGGTTGTTCTAGTTTTAGGGAAATGCGAAGTTTAGCTCAGGATAGGAAAGAATGGAGGTATGTGTCCAACCAGTCTTAGGACTGACGACCTTACGATGATGATGATCTGAGATTGTAGGAGTGGGTTTAGCAACGGTTAACACGTAATATGTTCGATGATTAAATCACATTAACTCGAATTTTCTCTAACTCGAGCATATCTGGCTACTTTTAGGGGGTTTTACTAAAAATCTGTCAGACTTTAAACAATTACGATGTATAACAATGCTGTAAACTCAAAATGTTTCAGACGGAAATCCACTGTTGGGAACTGGTTACGAAGATCCCGTGAGAAGAAGCGAAACCAGGGTTCCACCGGGGGGGTTTTCACAGGGCATTTGGTAGCATAATGTTCGACAGTTATAAAATTACCAAAAAAACGTCTTGTTCAAAATTTTAAATATCTTTTGTGGCCGTTTATCAGAATCTATTATTATGGAAAATGAGCAAAAGTAATGTTTTGTAACACTAAAATTACAGTATATTATAAATGTCTCTTTGAGTTTATTTATTAAATTCATAAAACAACAAAATTATATAATGTACCTAAGAATCTTGCAAGAAACAACGGACTGGATGGACGCGAAATTATTATCAAATTAGCATTCGAATTATTTGAAATCTTAAAATATTCGCACACCCTTAACAAATACTATTAATTCATTTTAAAGCAGTAAAGAGATGCAAAATAAGTAAAGTAACTATTATAAAATTAAAAGTATAAACAAAATAAAATACCCGGTATATTTAAGCTGAAAATGTTTTCTTGTTAAACATTGAAAACAAATGCATCAATAATAATAACAGAGTTTTCCGATATTGTACGTAGATGCTTTAATGGATAACTCACCATCAATGACTTCAGGATCTATCGGCAAAACAGCCAGTAATGTGGTCCAGCGTTTTGTAAGATCGTCGCTAAATCTACGCGCATACACTCTGTATTTTCGCCTTCTACCCGAAGGTTCGCCACTTAAAAACTTATCGTAATCCGGCATTGCAAGAAAGCCAAATTATGCCACGCACTAATTAACACAAAATTATTTTTGCAGTACAACAAACGGCTGCTATTAATGACCGCTGTCCAAGTTATTATAAACGGAATTGCCGTCTTTACTTATTTTTGAACCAACGTCATCGACCATTTTAAACATTTCTTTCAAAATAACGATATAGATAACTTTAATTTACACACATAACTAATAACTACATTTAAATGATTAGAATATATCTGTATTTATCATTATCAAACCTGTTGCACATTTTGAAAATTATTATAAACGATTGTTTTATAGTGATGACTGTTTAATAAATTGTTTGATAATGAATCAAGATAGCGCAAAAAAATTAACAATACAAGTTTTACTCCACTATAAAACACTTTTTATTAAAATCATTTCGTTTTTGTTGTAATAAAACTCGATACAACACTAGGTACGTTGTAAAAATAAGACTGACATGATTTTGGTTTTGAGCCACATTTTTCGACCTGGTTAGAAAGACTTCGAACTATTGTTTGTTTATGCAAACTTTGCCAAATTTTTGATGATCATAGTTTACGTGAGGAAACAGTCAATGGGACACCTATTCCGAAATAATTTTATGAATATCTGCTTCCAATGGACGAAAATATCAATTTTTTAAATTAATCATGGTTTACAGTAGCAACATTGGTATTATGAAGTGCCAATCAGGTACCTAGCATAATTTATTAATAGGTTTGTCGTATGATAATGTTTATAAAACAAGTAATAAGGAAAAGTAAATATTAAAACCGAATATTGATAAATCGTATTAAATTAATGTTAAATTTCAAATTTTCACTAAAATAAAAAATGTTTAAATGGAATAGGAATGGTGTGGATAAATGTTAGGTGATAATAGCTATAATTACTATCAACCTTCAACATTCAGAGTAAGTGAGACAATCTGTACAAAAGTATCTTTATATTAATGGCATAGTACCTAAATATTTGAAGAAATTATGGGACTTTTAATTTTGCAAAAATCCCAAGTTTTTACTTTAGTTTGATTCCATTATTTATTGATACTGGAAAAGCTGTTCGATAATTTATAAAATACAGATCCACATGCACTACATTTTTAAATGAAATTAATTAAACTTGTTTTATGGTATATCAATACAAAGTAAAATACCCGAAAAACTTTTGATCACATAAAACATAAGTAAATCAAAAACTTACCAAATAAAAACATAGTTTTAAATAGGTAGGTATCCACAAAACTAAGTGTAATATAAATAAAACACAGGTACGTGATATAAGTATAAATTAATCTTTATCACTAAAACTCATTATTCGCAGATGTAAATTTAAAACACTCAATTGATAAAATTTTAATATCTGAAAATGGAATCGAACTTTTAATGCATTTTGTATTTAGAGAGTAAATATGAAAGTTACAACTTCAATTGTCATGGAATTTAAAAAAGGGCACCTTTTTTGTTCAATTTAATGATTACATGCAAGAGCAACGAAATGATTCGACCCATTAATTAACTGAACATGCTACATATACACATAAGGAAAATCGTTCCCCAATATAAGCACATATCTACCTACTATAAATAACTAACCATAATTTTCACATTCATGACTTACACCAAATATTGTATATTGCAATTATTTATAAAACAAACAAAAATCGTGACATTAAAACTCACCTGAAGCATACTTTCCCGATTTCATTGAAGTCATACTTTTTTAACAACACCCATCAAAAAAAACACTAAACTTTTAATGTATAACTCATGTTAAATTAACCGTTTACATTTTTTGAGAAAAACTCACGGCGGCGTTTTCGTTGTAATTTTTGCATAATTTTATTTAGCTACTGTAAAATGGAGAAAACGAAAAATAACCTATAACGAGGGTTTCTTTTTCTTTCCCTCTTGACATTTCGCCAACTACCCACAATCAATCGATAAATGCAAGTGCAATAAACATAATTCAAAATTCTATAGGACGAGGTCGCTGGCGTTGGTATTTAAATTTCAAATTATAACCATTGAAATGGATGACTAATGTCTGTTTAACAAATATTGCATTAACTATTTTTTGCAACGTGACTCCCATTAAAATCAAGTTTCACGTACTTTTCAATCAAATAAAAAGGCCACGTACCTCATATTGACATAAGTCGAGTTATTATTATTTTGGCTTTATTGTTAATCGTTACGTAGACATTTCTATACCAACAAAAGTGTCTATGGTAACCTATTAGCAATAAAATTGAAGTATTATCTATTATCAACTATGATTACAGTCTATTATCTATGATTATAGTGATCCCGAATCTATGGTGGTCCAGCATAGAATTGTGACCCAATTGAGGTTAAATAGTCCCTTTCCTATTTAGATAATAAAGTAAAGATCTTTTGTGTTTTTGTTATGTGATTGTTAATTATTTTAGTTGTTTCGTGTACATTATTTGTGCTATTTAACATAATTATGATCTGCAAGTGATTTCAAAACTTGAAATAATTCAAAATGTGTTAAAATCTACAATTCACGAAAGGCATACACAACAACAAAAATTATGTGGAAATGCCATAAGTGCGGAAAACCTGTGTATTTTGGTAATTTTTTCCTCATAAAACCACTAGCTCTCGCTTTTCCGGTGTATATTTAGAATAATATTCTTAATTTTAGCTGAAAGGAAACAGTCATTAGGTTACGATTGGCATCCGGAGTGTTTGCGTTGTGAAGAGTGCGGAAAAAGGCTGAATCCAGGGCAACATGCGGAACATAAAGGAGTTCCGTATTGTCATGTGCCTTGTTATGGTGCATTGTTTGGGCCACAATTATTTGGACATGGAACAAGAGTTGAATCCCATAAAAGTTTTGGGCAACAAAAGACTTCACCCAAATCAGGAAATGGACCTTCTATTCCTCGATCGCAAATAGAAAATAAATTGAAGGTAAACCAGAAAAATTCGCTTTGGAACTAAGTCGTTGTAAAGTAAGATTTCAGATTTACAATAACTTTTTTGATGGAAAGAGTGGAGAAATCCGCAGTCGAGAAGTTAACAATAGATTAATTTTGGAAGGATCTTTGCGTATCCATTGGGGTGTACATGGTGTTATACACTTAAAAGAGGATGATGATCAACGCACTGTTGTAACTATTCGGAAGAGAAACTCTTGTCGTGCTAACAGTGGATCTGAATTTGATTCAGGAGATGAAACAACATGTAATGACATATCTCTCGATTCACTTTCTAAAGATTCGAGCTTATTGACATCAGGTGACAACATGACTGATAGTATGACTTCTGATACGGGGATAGATGACATCAATATGGACACAAGTAGCAGCAATTCTGAATTAAATTTAACTGCTTCAGTATCTAAAGACATATCACCAAAAAGCCTGACATTACCTTCTAAAGTGGATACCAAATCTGTGGAATGGGATGAATTAGATGATCTGTTACAAGTGGAAAGAAAACTAGATGAATCACAAAAATTATATCAAACCATGCCTGAGCCTTTGCCTTCTTCTCAATCTTCTTGCTTGGATGGAGATTTAACAAGCGATTCAAGTCCAATTAAAATTAATGGGAATGTGGAAAGTTCAGATGCATCAGACCCGTCGTGGTTTGGATCAAATGGACATCTGAATAGATCCATGTCAGGACCTGACTGTTTAGAAAGGAACCGTAAAGAAAAGGAAGATTTAAGTATTGAGGATTCTACTGTAACAGATACTAATCCCACAGATGAAGAGGCTGTTATGAGGCGTCCACCGAAAACAGGTTCTACTGCAATAAAACGTAGGCCTGGTCGAAGGCTTTCCAGGTCTAAGATAAAGAGAAGATGCTCAATAAATGGTCATTTTTATAATAGGGAAACAAGCTTTTTTACACCACCGCACGGAAGTCAAATGAGCGTTTGGGTGACTTCTCTTGTTAGTACCCACGAAGTTATCAATCTTTTGCTGGAAAAATACAAAGTAGAGAGTGATCCAACCAATTTTGCTTTATTCATTGTTCGAGATAACGGAGGTAAATCGTAAAAAATAGGACCTATCGCTTTTTGTCATGAACTACTACTTATTATTTTTTTAGAACAAAGGCGCCTGAAAGAAGACGAATCCCCTTTATTAGTAAGGGTTTTACTTGGGCCACATGAAGACGTCGCTCGTTTATTTTTAATGGACAGTCAAAATACTCCAGAAGTTAGTAATGAGGTTGCACAGTTCTTGAATCTCTCGGTTCCAGAATTACGAGCCATTTTAAATCAGTATTATTCGCAGGAGGAAAAAGAAATAATGAAAATCCAGGACAGGTAAATTTTACTCTTAGAAACGTGGAAAGAAAAAATTTAAGAAACTAATTCTATTAACAGGTACAAGGAAATGAAAAGAAGGATCAAAAATCGAATGGAAGAATTAAAAGTTCGTTTGTAAGGTACAATAAGTTTTGATAAACTTATACAAAATGGGGTACAACTCAATTGTACTTTACCCTATATTTTATATGTATTTTTTAACTAATGCTAGTCAGTTAAGTCAGTCTACATATAATTGGGACAATATTAGTTATTCAACTAATAAGATAAACAAATTCCAGCTAAAATATGAAATAATCAATTATTAATCAAATATTTAACTTCAAGCATTATTAACTCACTAAATGTGTATATATATATATATATGTGTTCGATGCAATACATAGACAAGCTACAATTTGTTGCGGTGGTGGTGGTGCTCACTCGCGTTCGTCTATCGTAATCGTGTAGTAAATAGTAGTTAAATAGGATAACACCAGCGAGTGTGAGCCAAATTGTTTTACTCGAGAATTCCATTCCGATTACGCGTCTACCGCCAAACGAAAAAATCCGAAACCGACAACTAACAATCGTTCACGAACACGACACGATGTCGCGTGTTACAGACACGTGCCAGACAACATCAACATGANATCTTGCTATTAAAACGAACTGTAGTAATTTTGGCACTGTAAAATTTATCAAATATATATAATTTAAATTCCTAAGTCGTATCTCAGTTGAAAAATGTGTAGTAATCATTGCTCCTTATTAGTAGAATGCCCTAATTAAAAAATATATAAGGTAATTTTTAAATATTGTTACTAAACTTTTTGCATTATTTGTACTCTTACAAAATAAATATTTTTAGTTTATTTTCATCTTTATGGAAATGCAACACCTCTTTTTTCTTTGGGGGAATGCATTTTAAAAGGGGGTAATTTAGCTTTAAAAAGATTTGTTATTTTTAATTCAATTGAAGATGGCACATCTTAAGAATCTATATAAATATTTTTGTTTTCAGTGAAATCTATATTTGTTTCACAAAATTAACCCAAATTGCATAATTAGAGTCACACTCTATCCATTTGTATCAGTAATTGTTATTTCAAATAAAAATTCTGCTTGCTTATAGTAAGCAAGTTTAACAGTCTCCAGAAAAAAATTCATCCATTTCAAAAACTATCATACCGGTATAACCAGAATGAAATGGGGAAGAACAAAAATCTTTTCTATAAGCTTTTTTTGACATGAAAAACTTTTGTAGTTTATGTGCTGTACAGTTTCTGTTAACAATGTTTAGAGAAAGGAGTGCAGACATGGGAAATCCCTAATAAACCAAGTCCTGGCGTATTTATTCATCTACATTTATTTTATCTACACATTGCTAGACAAAATACCCACATATCACACTTATCTACTACCACCACATTAATACTACACAGTTTAATTTCACTGTGCAAAGACAAAATGCTAGAACTCATTAGATTCTTGAAAGCTACTCAAATTTAAAGTAGTTTATCAAATACTTTATTTAATGTAATATATAACAGGTTACTTACTATAGACAATTAGCCCTGATTTACGTTTGACATCTACATAAGGACTATTATTAAAGGCTTCATTACTTTTTGGAGTAGTCGATTTTGCCTGATGGACAATCAGGTGGTGAATAATTGAAGAAAATATTAGTTTTTAACATAAGTATGCTAAACATAGTCCACCCAATTCCGGTCAATAAATATAAGTTATATTTCCTTTGTTGTGCTTTGTAATTGGTTTCCCATGAACCACAAGGTTGTGGTAAATCATTGTAAGTGTTCTTGATGGGCACGGGTTTGTAGGATTTAAACCGTTGTCCAACTAAAACAGTAAGATATTAAGAATACTTACATACAAATAAAAATTAACGTATTTTTAGACTTCAACAATATCATCAAAATACTTGAACATTGGTATAAAATTAGTTATCGATAATTCATAATATACAAGTAATGGAGGTTAATGTAGGTTACATAACCGAAACGACGAATGACATTTTGTAAAAACGTTAACAATTGCAGTTATATTATTGTAAAATATGTAATTACTAATAAAACGGCAAATAAACAGGATAAAATAGTTGAGTTTTACTAATCTTTAAAAAAATTCTTTCGCTTACCTTGTTTAACTGCCCTTTGTAAAATTGGTTTGGTTAACATTTTGCTTTGAATAATAATTCTATAAAACAAAGTCTTTTTAAATAAAAAATTCTTGCCACCAATTCAAAATCTTTGTAAAAATCACTTCCTACGTCCTATTTTGACAGAACTACAACTTGTTTTGTTGAAATGGTTGAAAAGGCTGCCAAGAAGATCAAACAAAATGGTGAACGTTAAAAATGTTGTCAACACTGTTTAGTACCAACGTTAACAACAAAATAGAGCCAAAAATAATGCGGTAATTTTAAATGGTCGTCTTTAACGCACATTACATCGGTTAAGTTACATGCACTTAATAAATTATAACTATACACATACAAGTACTTCTATCAAAACTTTGAAATGCGTAGTAATTGTTTTATCTATTTCATTAATGCTTTAAGCAGCTTCCTTGATCTTGATAGATTTTAAGTAAATATACTGGGTGACTTGAAATATATGTACAAGGAGAAAGCAGTTCTTATATAAGAGCATAATAAAAACGTTTTCAGAAAAGGTAGCAAAAAAGTTATACATAGGGCGATCGATATAGTAACTTTTATACCTACATATCTTTTTAAAATTCATTATGTCGGATAAAAATAATAATAAACGTTGTAGAGGTAAGCATGGGTAATTTTCTTTTGCAACTGTAGGTTTTATAGTTGTTATACAAATTACTGTTAGTGGTCTTCATTTACTTTAAAAACATTATGAGTACACTTAGTTAATCGACTTAGAAAAAATATGATTGATTGATTGATTTAAAGCAATTCAATTATATTAAAAAATATGTGTAAATTTAAGTGATTATTTTCAAAATTCATTTTTTCTATTATTGCTGGTGTCTGATTTCATTCATCAAGTTTTCTCTTTATACAATTGTATGTCTATATCCNAATAAAACAGAAAATCTATTAGTTCGACTCATCATATATATTATTTCCAGTAAACATATTATTACATAAAGAACTCAAATATATGTGCTTACCCCTTTCTAGCAAAAACCACGTAGTTAATACAGATAATTATTTTTTATCGAGTTTGAAATACTTTGAATTGAAATAGTTAAATATTGAATTTTTTTTTAATTATATTTTTTGTAACTACCTACTATGTACCACTATTACTATTAATATCTACTATAAGTATTTCAAAATATGTACATCAAAAATAAATTTAGACAAATATACAAAAAAAGTTAAATAAACAGAAAAGTTACCTTTTGTACTTCAAAATTAATTAGCTGTTGGCTTGGAGGTAACTTGGCCCTGAATCTGATCTTTCCCACCCATTCGAGCATGTCGGCCTCGTTGTTGCAGGCGAATAAAAATTCGGACCCTTCAGGTGTCACCAGTCTAAACGTGTGTTTTCTTTTAACATAGTCATCGGCAACGGTACAGATGGCGTTGTGAATTCCTACGGGTGACGAAATCGCTTTGCTGGCCGCGAAATCGTCTCGATTTTTAAAGAAACACAGAAGTTGCCCGCAAAGGACGGTGTAATAGTTTTTCCATGCTCTGTTTTGAGCTCGTTTTCCACCTGCGCTCAATACTTGTTTTCGTTCCAGAAAAGCTTGTATCTCTACAGGAGGCAATTCTACCTCTGCATAATAAATTATTATTTAATACATAAAATACTTGTCAATTTTATACAAACAATAATTCTCTTACCGCTTGCTTTGCTCCTGAAAGATCCCGCTCTTCTTTTCGTGTTGAAGGAAGGCGTTTTCTTAACTGGTTTTGCAATGGAAGAAACCTTCATGCTTTCGTTACATCTGCGAAGATGGGTGCCGCTTTTTTCGAAACAAGTCCATTATCCGAGAAGAGGATCTTTTATGATCATTTGGCTGAATACTACTAGGTCTAGACATTGTCGAACTTTGCCAGTCCGAACGAGAATTACCTGAATCGGAACCACCATATCCTACAATTATTAAAAAAAAAAAAAAACAAATGCATTTGTTAAAGATAAATCGACTGCTTTCTTAAAATCTCCAGTTATACTTCATGATACATTTATTTTGAAGATCCCCAATGTATATGTGGCAGTTGACAGAACGCTTTGTGATCTAACTATTAATACGTTAGGGAATTCACTATACCTATAGTATAGTTATTCATATTTCTTCGCTGAAAAAATACCCACAAGTACCTTTACATGCACCGAAAGTGTATAAACAACAAACGTATAAAAATGATGTGTTATTAAATGAGATAAAAAGCATTCACAGAGAAAAATAAATTAAAAAGGCGGTATCCCAGCAAATAAAGAAATACAGTAGACACTCGATAGTGTGAACAGAAAAAAAACAACAATTACTGTTCATGTTATCAATTTCTTCACGTTAATGAATGTTCACGGTATACGGTGGTCACATAATATGTTGTTCACATTATGCGTGATGCTATGTTTACGCCATCGAGTGTGTACTCTAAGTGTTTTTATTGTGTGCAAGTGTTTTTCATTAATAAGGATTATAACAAATACAAAATAACTTTTCTTTTTGATCCAGTTTTGATAATAATCATCAGACAAAATTCTAAGAAAAATATTAATTTATTAATTTTACCGAAAAGCCAAACAGTAATATCCCTACAAATGAATTTTTATACGGTTTCTTTTAGAAGACATTAGCTATAAATTTCATTTTATACGATTATTCTGTACGAACTCTTGAAAATGTACCTATGGTGTAAAAAAAAATTAATGTATTTACTATTTTTTAAGTTCTGTAGACAAATCTGCGTCAGTCTAACAAATGGTTGAAGTACCTATGTGTAGAATAATTCAGGAAAAAAGTAATGTATTATAAAGTGATGTTAGGCAAAGACAAGAAAAAAGTAGTAAAGCACATGCAATTGAAATTTCTTTTGACTAACCATGAATGTCTCCACTGTTTTCTAATGTGTACCTTCGACTTGTGTGATTATTAGGCGGTTCGCTGGCTGGTAATGGCGGTGGACTTTCCCCTAAATTAGTTTCGCATTAATAAAAGCTCCGTTCGGTGGGTTATAAGTAGGTTAATAGGTCTAACGACCTTATTTTTTTTACTAGTTGACGACGAAATTAAGTTCCGTTTTTATCCATTAAATAAATTTGTGGGTTTTGTTTGTGTTCACAAACCAAAAAAAAAAAAAACAACACAAAACAATAACAAACAAAACGTAACAAAATAAAGTAGTATGAATGATCAACAAAAACACAAACATACAAAAATATCTATATATCTGTGTAATGATTACCTGAGAGGGTATGCCTCCAGCCAGTTGAATTGCCATTTTGATTTTGGAACTGAGGGTCGTGTCTTAAGACCACAGCTTCCGATATATCCGGACTGGATGTTCTACTTGATGTTGAACTTGCATCTATTTCGTGTATTTCCTGTTATAAAACATCTTCATTTAGAAAAGTTTAAACTAAATTAAACAGAAAATCTATTAGTTCGACTCATCATATATATTATTTCCAGTAAACATATTATTACAAAAAGAACTCAAATATATGTGCTTACCCCTTTCTAGCAAAAACCACGTAGTTAATACAGATAATTATTTTTTATCGAGTTTGAAATACTTTGAATTGAAATAGTTAAATATTGAATTTTTTTTTAATTATATTTTTTGTAACTACCTACTATGTACCACTATTACTATTAATATCTACTATAAGTATTTCAAAATATGTACATCAAAAATAAATTTAGACAAATATACAAAAAAAGTTAAATAAACAGAAAAGTTACCTTTTGTACTTCAAAATTAATTAGCTGTTGGCTTGGAGGTAACTTGGCCCTGAATCTGATCTTTCCCACCCATTCGAGCATGTCGGCCTCGTTGTTGCAGGCGAATAAAAATTCGGACCCTTCAGGTGTCACCAGTCTAAACGTGTGTTTTCTTTTAACATAGTCATCGGCAACGGTACAGATGGCGTTGTGAATTCCTACGGGTGACGAAATCGCTTTGCTGGCCGCGAAATCGTCTCGATTTTTAAAGAAACACAGAAGTTGCCCGCAAAGGACGGTGTAATAGTTTTTCCATGCTCTGTTTTGAGCTCGTTTTCCACCTGCGCTCAATACTTGTTTTCGTTCCAGAAAAGCTTGTATCTCTACAGGAGGCAATTCTACCTCTGCATAATAAATTATTATTTAATACATAAAATACTTGTCAATTTTATACAAACAATAATTCTCTTACCGCTTGCTTTGCTCCTGAAAGATCCCGCTCTTCTTTTCGTGTTGAAGGAAGGCGTTTTCTTAACTGGTTTTGCAATGGAAGAAACCTTCATGCTTTCTGCCCTTTTAACGTTAGCATCTGACGCTTTTCGAACTCTGTCACCAAACATGTGAGCCACTGAGTTTGATTTGGTTAAAGATGACGCGGACGTAGAATTGCTCTTTTCGTTGTCTTGGGCATAAGGAGCTCCATTCATCTTTTCTTCATGAATTTCTTTTGGCCTTTCCTTGCGATCTTGTTGTTCTAGACGTCGCTGTTCCGTTATCCTCTGCATTTCGAGACGCTTCCGCTGGGCTATACGCTCATGCTCCAATCGTTCTTTCTCGGCTTGTCGGGCTCTGGCTTCTTCTTCTTTCTGCCGGGCAAAAGCTTCTTCAACCAGTGTTCGTCTTTGTAAAGCGGCGAACTTATCTTCTTGAGCTTCAATGGTCTTTTCAAAGTCGTCGTGCTTCCTCAATAGTTCTTCCACTTGAGGAATGCTCTCTCCGTAAACTCCATCCTTGAGATTTCCTTCGCGTACCTGCAGCCAGTTCTCTAAATTGTTTGCTTCACGTTTGAACAACTGGACATCAAGATGCTGTTCGTAGATTACGTTTCTTTGTTGCCACGTTCTGTGGAGAAGGTTCCAGCGATGATTGAGAATATTGATACGATCCTGAATTTCTTGAGATAAGAAGTGATTTTCGGCAATTAATCTTCGACCAACTTTGAAGAAGTTTTCAAATGAGTCCTCGCGAGCGTCAATTTCCGCTTTTAATTCTTTATGACGTTCTATTAGGTGTTCGGAACCCGTAACATCGTGAGGCAGATCTGGGGCAGTGATTTTCGCCAGCATTTCATTTATCCAAGCCCTAAAAAGTAATTGAAATAGTTTAAAAAAAAAAAGAATTAGTGTTTAAAAATTTTTACATTAAATCTCTGTGTTCATCGAAATAAGTTTGTAATTGTTCTGCTTCTTGAAGATTATTTCGTCTTTGTTCTGCTTTGATTTGCAATTCTTCCCAAGAAGATAATGTGTCTTCTTTTTTTACTTCGATGTGCTCCTCAGCATCAGGAAATAGTTCACTTAACTTTTTAGCTTCTTTACAAACTGCCTCGACCTGTTCTTTCACCGCGGCTAA